CCAAAAAAATACATGACGGTAAGTGTAAATACTAAAATTTTGAACCTTTCATTTCAATTCAATTATTTTGGAAATTTCAGGCTGAAAATTATACTTAAGTTAGAAAGAAAACAAAGTCAGTACAAACCTAAGATGTAGTTTTAGAAAGTAAGTGTTCTAGTTATATGCCCAAACACATTTACTGAAATCTGATAAATTTCTATGAGGCCCAAGAGGGTCATATAAACAGCAGAGATCTTCACCCTCTATGTCTGGAAATGCCACTGTGAACTGCTATTTATCACTAAAGAAGAGGATGGTCTCTCGACCGTTAATTTTCACTGACATCAAATGTGGATGTTCAAGTGGCATTGAAAGACTTAGGTTCTCTAATCAAGTCAGTGACATACAGTTCTTTGCTTCAGGAGAGTCAACTCTCATGTTTCAATACCCATTCTAATTAGATAAGAGAATAAATTCTGTGCTTACTCCTTATTTCAGGAAGATTACAGATTATCAGAACATTAAGTTTATTATTAAGAAAAAATTCATTGAGTCAGTTTAGATTAAATTTTGGCAAAAATATGAAAAGCAAACTTTAGACAAAAAGTGTCAGCAATGTAAATTACCAATGTTAGTTTGTCTGTCCGTCACAGATCAGTAAATGTTACCAGGATTATTAAAAGTCCAATGTTCTCAAGTTCTGAGCCAATGTAAAAACATACGCAACTGCTTAAAATCCAAAACTATTTTTTCTTTTGTGCTCTTGTTCCCTCACACTTAACAAGGCTTTTATTATTATACTGTTATCTGATTACAAAAACATTTACATTGTAAGCATTTAACATGGGGGGGGTAAAAAATTAGTAATGAAGATTGCCCTGCTCTTGCCATTGCATGCACATTTATCCATGACTAGACTGATATTGAAGTTTTACAAACTAACCCATAACAATACTGAGAAAACAGTTGACAAACCTGAAAGAATAGCTTCTTTCAAATATAGTAACATATGGGAGAACTTCCTGATATCATTCACCAGCTCCTTGATGTATTCCGGATCAAAAATGGAGTTGGAACTTACGGACTTGAGCCCCATTTCAGAAGGTGTAACAGCGGCAGAGAGTTGGCCTGATGCCCAAACACGTTTTTTCTTTGCCTTTTTCTGTTTGTGAGCAATCATCCTCTCATTTAACAGTCAGAAAAACTGAAATCCTTGAGGGGACAAAAAAAGAGAAGAGAGGAAAATACTCCATCAGCCAAGCAGCATCACACCAGGTTTCAACAATAGCCCACAACCCACCTCAGCTTTTGAGTTTAGACAGAACACTCAACTACGAACAGCAGTTTCCATTAAATGTCTAAAATCTGACAACTCTCTCTGACAAGCAAACCCTAGGATGTGTAAGCTGCCTTTCTTTTCATTTCACAATGTGTGAGACCTGAGGTTCAGAGAGGAAAACATAGATATATTCTCAACTGATAACTTAAGTGAAAACCCACATCAGCCGTAATACCCGAATCTGTGCTCATAATTACTTGGCTTTAATTATTTTTTTAGAATGATTTATTACTTTTATTTTTTGTACATTGGTGTTTTGCCTGCATGCATGTCACAGTTGTGAGCTGCCATATGGGTGCTCGGAATTGGACCCAGGTCCCCTGGAAGAGCAGCCAGTGCTCTTAACTGTTGAGCCAGCTCTCTGGCCTCTGGCTTTAATTTTTAAGATACAGATTTTTTTTTTAATGTAAAGATACTTCTGAAGCATGACTTAGAAGGAGGTCATATTTTCCCTTTGCAGAATCGACTTCAAAACTAAAGATGAGACATATTTTGAGAGAAAAGTTTACCAGATCTTAGTTTCCCACTTACTGTGTGACCTCACAAGCTGTTAAATCATGTCTTCACTGTGCTATGCTCATTTATGAGAACATACTGACCACACCTCCTCCAGAGATTACTATCAGAGTAGACGAGAGAATGATACCCAAGTGTCCAGTCAGCACATTAGCTCAATTAGAGTCATTTTCTGAGAATGCATATACATGAACACGTATGTATTTAGCTTATCAAAACTTGTCAAGAATATTTCTTTGTTGAAAGAAGCTCAAAGAATGGCCAGTAATCTCACATACTGTGACTGGACAAATAGATTTGCAATTATGAGAGTAATTTGTAATTTCAGGATGATATAGTTAAGGGGCAATATTTGGTGTAAGAAAAAACTAATACCAAATATGTAATCCCAGGTGAGTAATCTATACAATTAATTTATAGGCTTACATAAAGATTAGAAGAGATCACACCAAAACAGGGGGGTTTTCTGTTAAGGCATCTAATCCCAATCTACTGGAACTCAAAATTTTTGCCTTTTATCTTTATTTAAACATTCCAGAATTGAAAGTTCTAATTTTGGTTACATCTCTTGAAACCATGAAGGAAACAAGAGAGGCAAAAAAAAAAAAAAAAAAAAAAAAAAAAAAAAAAAAAAAAAAAAAAAAAAAAAAAAAAAAAAAAAGGACTGGTATGGCAGTGCACGCCTTTAATCCCAGCAACCCCAAGGCAGAGGGCAGAGGGGTCTCTGTAACAACAGAGTGAGCTTTAGGACAGCCAGGACTATGTAGAGAGACCCTGCCTCGTTAGGGAAAAAAAAGGGAGGAATATTAAATTAGTTCAAACATCATTAAAAAGTTTTCCAAACATGCTATGAATATGTGGATACTTTCAGAATGACAGAACAGCTGAGGACCTCCATGTAATAAACAGAAGAAAGTTGCATGTAATAATATCTTTGCTAAATGTAAGACACATTGTCTATTCATAACATATCTGACATATTAAGACTTTTAGTTTCCAATTACAATTCTTTAGTCTATCCCTCTACTTTTACTGGTACTATGCTAATGAACTACCATTATTTCTTATTAAGCTACTATACTAATTTCCTAAGGATTTGTCTACTTGCATTTTTGTGTTATGAACCTGTAAAACATATCTCTTAGTATTCCTTCTTTGCTCAGTACTTTTCAAAGGGACAGAGGTAAACGCCACAGTCTATGAGGTTCAAAATGATAGCTGGCTCCCATCTGCCTCTGCAAAAACATCTGGACTCACATTTTGCCACACACACCTTTTCATTTTCAGACCATTTTTGTTTACTAAAGGCCACAGCATGAAGTAATTATGCACCATGACTAGTACACACACTGAGTATGTCATTTTGCGCATAGTACACACACAAATGCATTTGTTTCACACAAAAAAACCCATATTCTAAGGGCCCAGGTGACATATTTGTATACTTTCTTATTCTATCCTATTTCATATTTTATTTATTTTTATTATTATTTGCATTAAGTTAGTGTGTGTGTGCAGATACCCAAGTAGGCCAGAGAAGCTGACCTGGATCCCCATGGAGCAGGAGTTATAGGCGGTTGTAAGCTGCCTGACATGGCTACTGGAAACAAAATTTAGTTCTTTTATAAGAGAAGTGTGTTCTCTTAGGCCCTTAGCTATCTCTAGTTCAGCCCCTAGTTCATCTTTTTAGCTGAGGATCCTGTCCATCACATGAGGTTTCATCTACCTGGACATGGACACTCTCAGATTTTACTCCTGAGTTTACTTTCTCTGACAGCTCAAAAATCATTCTCTTAAGGAAATCTTCCTGTATCACCACCACCCACCTGATCAAAAATCTCCAGTAGTCCTGCAGTATCTGAAAATTTCATTTTGTATTTACTATAGTTCAAATAAATGCCTTCTCCGATAATTCCTGATCTAGACTACAATCAAGACCATAACGGTTTGTTAACCACGCATTCTGTGCTTACACTACAGTAAGCATATTAGGGATGGCCTACTTTGAACTGTCTGCAAAATGAATGAATTCACAAGAATAGTAATGAACAGGCTTGTAAGTTTACTATAACAATTTTACAGAAAACACAAAACTAGGTTGTAATATTTAAGGGAAAATCACTTAAAATTCTATCCCTAAAATATTCTTTAAAAGAAGCATATGAAATTATACTAAGGCACATAAAACAAAAATCAAAGTTGTATTTCTTTTTTTTTAAGTTTTGTCTTTTTCAAGACAGAGTTTCTCTGTGTATCCCTGGCTGTCCTCGAACTCACTCTGTAGACTAGGCTGACCTTAAACTCACAGAAATCCACCTGCCTCTGCCTTCCTGAGTGCTGAGATTAAAGGCGTGTACCACCACACCAGGCCTGAAAGTTGTATTATCATTTTTCTGATTATGTAAATAGGATGTTATTACCTTTTAATAGCTTTAAAAATTCCTTTATTCAATGTCTTTTGTCAATTTCAAATTATTTAAGCCTATACCTTTTATATTTAAACCAGCTTTAAAACTAAAATTATTCCTTAAGCGTGTAATTTCCAAAATGAACCCAGAATAATTTTTGGTCATTAATATTAAAGTATCCATTTCAACTAACAAAAATAAATAAAATAATACTAAAATACCTTGTTTGAGCAGATCTTTAGTATCTCTGAGGAGGCTACTAATAAACTACCAAACTTTATCACCTGTGCAGTTTACATAATAAAATCTTTCTGTTTGTTTATGGTGCCTTTAAATTTAGTAAACTAGACAATTAGTCACAGCCACTGATAAAAAGACTTTAAGAATCAAAAGACATAACAAGTTTAAAAACAATTCATGAATAAAAAGAACAGAAAAATTTGTGTCAAATTAGCAACTCAAAGTTGTAAACCTAGTTTCAAAAAGGCTTCTAACTTTTAGACAAGACTTAGAAAATCTGTTAACACACAAATAAACATACATGGGGGAAAAGGCTTGAAATATGCATTATACTGAATGTACTAAGTTTTAGAAAGTTTTTACAGTTTTTCTTTTAAAACTTTAAAGGGGCAACATTACAACTGAAAAGATATTTAAAATTAAAATTGTACTTTCATAATTGAACTATGACAATGAGAAAGCCTGGACAATATGCACTCTGCAAGATTCTATACACTACTTTCCCATGCGCCAAAATGAATATTCCCTGGTTAGTGGTAATATAAAGTATAGTTAATAATAGATTGTAACTGGTAATTTAATTAAATTAGATAGTAATGCATGGAAAGTACTTAGCACAGTGCCTGGCATGAAGACTCAGTCATTGTGAGTTATTTATTATTACTAGAGTACTTTATTGTGGGAAATTGTTCTTAAACATATTTAAGTAATAAACAGCTGTGGCTTCATAAGTCTATAGATTGTAAGCAAGAAATATAGGACTAGAAACAATTCCAAAAGCTTAACTGATTTCATGGAAACCTAGTAAATGCTTCCAAGTGAAGTTTGGACTGTGCAAACAGACTGCTCAACGAAACACTTGTGAAACTAATTCTCATCTATTCCAACTCCAAGCCATGAACATTAAAAATTGTATTATCTATGTCTTAAGGAATTTTATAGCTAGTAGAAAACATACAAAAACTACTTTGTACACTCTAAGCTTTAAATCTTATGTGCATGACAAATATGAATTCATAGCTCAGTGGGAAAGCCCTGCCTGGCAAGAGGCCCTGGGTCTAACCAACCACTAGGAAAAAAACTGTGCACACAAATTTCCTAAACTCCCAAATGGTGACTTTTACAAGGCTTCAGCAGTCCGTGTCAATCAAAATCCCCTCACACACTCTATAATGTATATGATAGAAGCAGAAAGCTAACTGGAATGTAAAAGTGCCCCAAATATCTGTACTTTAGTTCTTCCTACTTACACTTTTAAAAGTTACATAAACTTCAGAACTCTGCTATTTCAGCATAATTTCTGAGTTTGTGAGAATCTATTTAAAAAAACTGCAAAAAACACAGGAGACAAATCTAAATGTCTTTAATTATACTTTTAAAAAGCACTCTACAAAAACGGAATGGAAACATATCAGAAACAGCTTTATTCTTAACAATTTCTAAAGTAAGACACAGAACACATACACTTCATTTCTGTGCAGTTTGAACCCAGCATGATAATTTTAAAAAATAAAAATTTTACAAAGGTGGTGGTGGGGGGGGGGGGGGGGGGGGGGGGGGGGGGGGGGGGGGGGGGGGGGATGTACTGCCCTGCCTCCCACGCCTTCAGAATGTTTAGCATTCCTGGCAGGGAAGGCGCACTTCTGACCAGCCAAAACTACGATATACCAGAGCACACGTTCCCCATCCCTGATTTAAATATAGAGAAAAGAAAAAAGAAACGAAAAGGGACAGTAAACATGGATAGCGACCGACAAAAGGACACAATAGACAAGAGATAGAGTCACCGAGTCTAAAGCCTTAGCAGGTGATGTTTGGTGAATTATCTCCCAGGAGTGAAAAACGGATAAGCAGAGACTGTCAACAGCAACTAGAATTCCACCTTCAAAACCCTCAATCCTGAGCGAGTCCCTCCTAACACGTCTTACAATTAAACCATCAAACCTCCAAACATATCCAAAGCAAAATTAGAACACACCGTGACACTGAGGAGCGTTCAAAAAGAACACCCTTCTAAACACAAACCAGATGCACGACGGAACTCCTAAAATACCTCGGAACTGAGCACCCATCTGGAGTGAGAATTGCAGGCGGGTTGGCGGGAGCAGACTGTGCTCCCGAGCATGGATTCTGGGGCAAGGGCGCCTAGGTTTAAGCCTTGATCCTGGCAATTACTACTTTGTATGGACAGCTTTTAACCTCACCTTTCCCGTGTGAGAAATAAATTGAGGGGTCAGACCTGTCCTGAGAATTAAAGGAGTTACAACGTGTCAAGTTTCAGAACACTGTAGGTAAATATGCCCTAACTGCGCGTTTTTACTTGGGTCACCGTCTGCTCACCCCCACAGGTCGGTGTTCACAGTCCAGGTCCGAAGCTCGTATTCGGACCCAGGTTCGACAGCAATTCACAGGAACCCCAACCCAGCAGCTTCAGTGGGACCGAGCACCACCGGCCCTCACTCACCCCGGGGCTCCATCCTGTATCTCCAGCGCCAACTCCAGAGGAACTCGCACGGCCTCGCGGCGGTAGCCGCCTAGAGCTGAAATTTGCGGCCTCCATCCCCCATGCCGGGCTAAGCCAGCACTGTAGCGAAGCAGCTGCCCCAGTGGTGCTCCGCCCTGGCCCCACCCTCATCCCGCCTCAGCCCACCCCCTGGAGCCCAGTCCATTGGCTCACACTGGTTGGGGCGGTGGCAGTGCAAACAACAGGTAGAGGAGCCCAGGGTGTGATAGTCGGTCTGTCAACAGTTTTTGGCCTGACAGGGTCTCCTTACTGGAGACAGTGCTTAGGAAAAGTCACCTGAGAAGTGGATTTGGCTGATGGGAGTTCTTGGATGATTAATCTGTATTTCCTGGACCACTTTCATCCCCCATCGGCAAATCCCGAGTGATAAAGAGGGAGACAAAGGCTCCTCACAGGTAACTTGTAACATGCCCTCGCCCAACACTCTCAAAAGAATGAGCTACACTGGCGGGCCACGGTGGCTCACGCCTTTAATTCCAGCACTTGGGAGGCAGAGTTTGAGGCCAGCCTGGCCTACAGAGTGAGTTCCAGGGCATCCAGAGCTGTTGCACAGAGAAACATGCCTAAATATTAAATAAATGAATGAATGATTGAATAAATAAATAAAATAAGCAAGCAAACAAACAAAAAAAATCAGCAGGGTCCCCAGAATATAAGGGCTCTTGAATTCAATACACGAATAGAGAGGAAAACATAGGGAAGGGTGCCTATGAGAATAGTGGGGAGACAGAAAAATGACAGCATGTGGGAAAAAAGACATCCAGGGTAGTGTGGAGAGAGGAGGAAAAAATCGTGGGTTGTAGAATTAAGGAAACAAAAACCAAGGAAGAAACAAGCAAAGACAGGGGAAGTAATAAGTCAATGCATACTTTGGGTTGTTACCTAGCAAAGACAATTTGAGAACAAAGTGCTCTTTAGTCACTTAGCACTACAGTTTTCTGTTTCAGCTTTTCAGATTTAATTGTTTAAAATGTACGCACAAAGCATCAAATTTAACTATATCAAAATTTAAAGCAATAATAATATTGAAAACATGCTTAAAAAAAACCAACATTCCCTTAAATATCACTGGAGAAGAATAATGCACCATGAACAACTCATGAAACCACCGGTCACTCAAAACTAAGGGAAAAGAAAGGATTCTGAAGGCCAAGGACATCAAGAGAAGAAAGTATGTGCCACGTGCCAGACAGCAGTGGGGCACACCTTTAATCCTAGCACGGAGGAGGCAGAGGCAGGGGGTCTCTGAGTTCGAGGTTAACATGGAACTCTACAAAGCCAGTTTCAGAACAACCAGGGCTACAGAGAGAAGCCTGTCTTGGAAAAACATCTGCCCTGAGTGGTTGTTGACATTTTCTACAGTAGATCTGACTCTAATTCTCCCCACCATTATCCAAACAGCCAGCTACTGTCCACAGAACCTGACACAGAATACGTGAAGGGATATGAGATGTTACATTATAAGTAGGGTTGTTTATGGGAAATTCTGGTATCTTCAGTCACCTAAAGAATATTAGTTACCAAACTTCATCCAAAAGATATTTGCAAATATTCACAAAGGTAAGCTCATTTTTAAATTAAGAGGATCATCTTATAAATCTATATTTTAAAGTAATTTTATATGACACAAATAAGTTTAAGCATAAAAAGCACAACACTGAACTAATACTTTGCTACTTAAAATTATTGATTTATAATAAAATTATAAAGCCCCCTCACAAAAGTAAAAACCATCTTTGAATCATCTATTGCAAAAATGCAACATCTCAAATTTTTCAACAAGTTGCAGAAAAATCATTCTGTAAGCAACCTATAATTGAAAAGGAATTATTGTGTTTTTAACATTGTTTGACTGTTTCTAGCATTTTTCTTTCCTAAAATGGTAACCTGCACTCTCTTTAGTGCCTGTAAATTTCCATTCTGTGAAGCATCAAATTTCTAAAAGTCCTTTATACACTCTCTTCAAAATGTCTGAATAATTATATTCCTATCGATGATGGTGCTATCATCTGATTGCTTGTTTTGTTAAGCAGATGTTTTCACATTCCTAAGTGGGCTGTGTATTAGGCAGCCTCTATTTTTCATAGCAAAACATGGTCCTAAAAGCATTTGCCATCTGGAGTCATTTTTGGTTGTCACAGTGGAGGAAGGGGTTCTACTGACATCTAGTGGGTAAAGCCCATGGACATGCTAAACACCTTCAAGCATACAACAGCCCACTCTTGCCTGCAAAGGATGTCCCTATGAGGGAATCAGATTCCCTAGAATCTGTACTTACAGGCAGTTGTGAGCTGCCATGTGGGTGCTGGGAATTGAACCCTGGACCTTTGGAAGAACAGCCAGTTCTCTTAACCACTGAAACATCTCTCCAGCCCAGACAGCCTCAAAAGGTCAAGATAACATTACTCTACTCTAGATCCAACTGCTTTATACTTATACTTTATAAAGTATATATAGAAAATTATGCCAAATTAAATCACAATATGCCCCCAGCAAAACCTGGACTGAGTTAACACAATTTTTTCAACAAAAGTTACAAGAAAACAGTTAAAGAAAAATGTCTAGATTAAAAAGTCTTAAAAGAGGATCACTGGTAGAAGTACAAGCAGGTAGATCTACGAGTTCAAGGCCAGCTAGGTCCACATAATGAGACACTATTCAAAGGCAAAGAAATCCTTAAAAGATACAGTGCAATGATAAATAGCAACAGATTTGTCCATTTACTAAACAACTAGAAAAGAAGGGGAGGGACATTGATACTATTTTCAGATGCTGGACTACACAGAGCAAGGGACAGTACTAGTCTTTGAGAGATGCGATCACTAGCCATAAAATAAATTCTGCAGCCTTTCAACTTTCAGTGGAGTAAACTCTACAATCTCCCAACTTTTACCTGATGGCACATTCCAGACCACTTTTCTCTCAGCATCAACACAATAAAACCATACAATTATTAGGGCTTTAAAAGATCTGGAAAACAATATTAACAAATTTGGCAAGACAGACTACAGAAAATTCCACCCCAAAATGGCAGAATACACAATCACTAAAATAGACCATATATGAGATTATATAATTACTTCCAATAAGTAATTTAAATAATGAAGTATAAGTTTTCTAACCTAGGCAAGATTAAATGTGATATCAACAGCATAAAGGTATCTGTTGAATTTCCAAATATTTGTTAATTACAAAGCATGTTTTTAATACATAGGCAAAATTCTACATGTGAAATTTTAAAGTATTTTAAATTGAATGAAAATAAAAACATGCTGGGAGGTAGTGTGCATGCTTTTAATCCCAGGACTCAGAAGACAGAGGCAGGTGGGTCTCTGTGAGTTCAAGGCCAGCCTGGTCTACAGAGCTAGTTCTAGGACAGCCAAGGCTACACAAAGAACCCCTATCACTAAATAAGAAGAAAAAAAGATTAATTAAATTGATAAAGATTTAGCCAGACTGATTAAAAAATAAAGACGGCAATAAACACAAACTACTAATATGAGTGAAAGATGGAAAACCATTACAGACCCAATACATATTAAAGGACTACAAAGGAATTTACAGCAACTTTAAACTGAACAGCTTCAAAAAACCCAACAAAATAAACAGAAAATCTAAGTAGATCTCTTTTGAGTTTGAGGTCAGCTTAGTCTACAAAGCAAGTTCTAGGACAACCAGAGGTACACAGAGAAACCATGTCTTGAAAAACAAAATACTAAGATGGTGGTGGCACACGCCTTTAATTCCAGCACTCGGGAGGCAGAGGCAGGCTGATATTTGTGAGTTCAAGGCCAGCCTGGTCTACAAGAGCTAGTTCCAGGACAGGCTCCAAAGCAATAGAGAAAACCTGTCTTGGGGAAACAAACAAAACCCAACCAAACAAAAAGACCCTATTGCAGGGCAGCGGTGTCGCACACCTTTACTCCCAGCGCTAGGAAGACCGAGACAGGAGGATCTCAGTGAGTTTGAGGTCAGCCTGGTCTACAAAGCAAATTCCAGGACAGCCAGGACTCCTATACAGAGAAACCTGTCTTGAAAAACCAAAACAACAAAAAGGAAAACAACAACAAAAAAAACCCTGTCAACTTACTACAGCTTAGAATTAGCGGGGAAGGGTCTCTAACAGGTCAGTCATGGACATTTCTATAGAGGACTGGTCTGATAGCTAATTGTTCTGGGAAGACCCAGTCCACTTGCAGGCAGCACCATTTCCTGGACCAGAGAAAGTCTGAGTAAGTGGCAAGCAGAAGCAAGCAAAGATCCACTCATTTCTCTGCCCTTGACTGTGGAAGTGATGACTGCCTCAACTTCCCTCTATAAGGGACTGTAACTTGGAATTGTGAGATAAGCCCTCTCCTCCTATGCTGCTTTTAGTCAGAAATGAAACTAGAATATCTGGCATTCACTGTGTAGCCCACGTTAGTCTTGAGCTCATGGCAGTTTTCCTACCTCAAATTATAGTTTCGAGGAGTCATTGTGGGCCTTACTTATTTTATCTTTTTCTGAGACAGTCTCACTATGTAGTCCTGGGTGTCCTGGAACTCCCTCTATAGACCAGACAGACCTCAAACTCACAGAGCTCTGGCTGCCTCTGCCTCCCACGTGCTGGATTAAAGGCATGTGGCACCACACCCACCTAGCCAGACCTTAAATTTTACATTAAAATGTTACATATATGAAACAACAACAACAACAAATGTTAACTGGGGAACTTAAGACGACTTTTAAGATTTACTGTTCAGCCACAGGAATCAAGATAGTATGATTTCTAACATATTGACAACATACAGCAATAGAATACAGTCCAAAAAGTAAAACCAAATATATGAGTCAACTGATTTTTACACAGAAAACGTAATCTTTCAATAAATAATTGATAACTTAATTCACAGTATACCAATTTACTTGATAGGTGCTCTAAGCCTAAACATAAAATCTAAACACCAATCCTTCAAATTTAGAGGAATAGAAAAGAGGCCTATTTTTAAAAGTAAGGTTATTTCTAGGATCACAGCCATGTTTTTATGTATTGTATATAATTTCTTTTCAGCCATAGGAGCAGTGTTTAGCAGTTGAGTCAGTATGGCCTAAAATATTTACCATTTGCATTCAAAAATTGCGGGATATTTTTTGAAACTATAAGCAAAAATGATTTCCCTGACAGACCCCCAAAAGCAAAAACAACAAAAGAAAACATTGGCAAACTGGATGAAAATTAACTTTTATTCTTTAAAATATCCTTTTAAAATATAAAATGTGAGCTAAAATTGGAAAAAATGTTTGACAAAGAGTTTGTATCGAAATTATGTCAAGACCACTTGTTGTAATTAAAAAAAAAAAGCAGGTGCACAAGAGAAAGACGCCATGCAACAGAGTTTGTGTGGAGGGGTTTTATTAGGGGAAAGGGAATGTAGGAAAAGGAAAGAGGGGAGACTGGCCTCTGGGGACAGGAGCAGCAGGAGAGAAGAGGCAAAGAGAGAAAGACAGAGAAGGGGGAGTGACAGAGAGACCGGGAGGAGGTAAAGGGGAGGGAGGAAGGAAGAGAGAGAAAGGGGGGAGGTGGGCAGGGTCCTTTTAACAGGGAACACAGCAAAGTGCTCTTAGTGGCTGTGGCTGAGGACATATCCGGTCAGAAGCCCAAGGGCAGGCCAGTGCAGATGCCTGAATACTAACACCACTCACAAACTAATAAACTCAGTAAGTAATGAAGGAATGATTTACAGGAGGAGGAACACAGGTGGGAAACATGCACCTGGAATAGTGTTCAGAATCAGGAAGATGCAAATTTAACCTAAACTGAGATGTAATAATCACAAGAAACTTTAATTTCAGCTGAACTAAAATATTACATGTTATTGAAGACATAGAGCAATACTAACTGAATACAGTATCGCCATGCAAGGCACACAGTTGGAGGAACACAATCTGGCAGCTTCTTTTTTTTTTTTTTTTGTTTTTTTTTTTTTGTTTTTTTGAGACAGGGTTTCTCTGTAGCTTTGGAGCCTGTCCTGGAATTCCCTTTGTAGACCAGGCTGGCCTCGAACTCACAGAGATCCTCCTGCCTCTGCCTCCCAAGTGCTGGGATTAAAGGCGTGCGCCACCGCCGCCCGGCCTGGCAGCTTCTTATATAGTTAAATCTTCTCCTTGACATAAACACAAGAAATGAAAACGTACATTCACTCCAATCTTGTTCACAAATATTTTTAAGGCATTCAGAAACTGCAAATAGCCAATATCCCTCAACAGACAAGCCGATAAAGTGCGGGTACAGTCTTAAATGGGATACCACCGCTAACAAAAGTTGCCCATGATATAGCAAGAATTCACAGATGACTCTTAAAAGCACTGTGCTGAAGGCCGGAGAGGCAGCTCCACGGCTAAAAAGCACTTGGTGCTTTTGTAAGGGGCTGGGCTGGGTTCCCAGCACTCATGGCCGCTTCCGACCATCCACACGATCAGTTTCAGGGAATCCAGCTCGCTCTTCACAGAGCACCAGGTATGCATGTGCTACACATACACATACTCAAGCAAAGCGCTCGCACATATTAAAAAAAAAATCTAAAAAAAAAATTATGCTAAGTCAAAAAAGTCAGGTCAAAAATGTAGAAAAACAATTTATGCATATTAGCATAATTATATTTATATGAAACTTTAGAAATATTAAAGATAGTATTTAGTAGCAAAAGCATTATATTGGTTGTCTATGGACAGGGTAATACATAGATGTGGGAGAAATTACAAATTAGTATGAATAAATTTTAGAATGATGCAAACATCAATCTAAAAATTTTTTATTATTATAGTGATTACATGGGTACAAATCATTTGTCAAAATTCAAAGTGCATATTTATGAACTATAAATTCCATTATGTATAAATTATGCATAAATTATGTGTATGTCAATGTGTACATACCAATTACAATATATGAAGCTTATCTGTACCTTGACTCAAGCTATTAAAAAATGACCTATAATTACACTGAACTGAATTATGGAGAATGTTGGTGTTATATTTAATCATCTTTCCTTGGGAAAAACATGCTGAAATTTTATGGATAAATAATATGATGTCTAAGATTTATATCAAAATAATGTGGATTTTTATTATTTTGATAATAAATGAAGGGGTGATATAAATAGAATGACCAGGCTTAGTGATACATGCCTACAATCTCAGATATTCCAGTTGCAGAAAAGCAAGTTCAGCAGTTTAAGATATTCCTCAAAATCAAAGGTGTATCTTAAAAGGATCTGCGGGAACTGCTCAGTGGGAGAGCACTTGCCTAGGATGTTAGAGGTTTTGGGTTCAATTCACAGTACTGGGAGAAAAGACTGGCCAAAAATTGATATTCTGTGATGCTGAAGCTGGATATAGAGAAATTCCTTATATTATTTGTATTTATTATTATTTATATACTTTCATATATGCTTGAAATTTTCCATATTAAAAAACTATTTTGTTTTCAAAGAGTCTACCCACCAGATCTACCTTGGGATCACTCAAGATTCTCCCACCAGTCCAATCACAATACTCCCTTTTATTCTCCCCTTCCCATTTTTCCTTCGGAAGCCAGTCAGGGATACACAAAATCAAACACATTAAGCAAAAATCAACAGATGAATAATAAGCAAAACTATAAAATGTTGTGACTGAAAGTCCCTGGAACTCTGACCACTCCTTCCCCAACCGTTTCATGTGGGCTGGAGAGATGACTCACCAGGCAAGAGCACTGAACTCTCCCAGAGGTTCTGGGTTTGGTTCCCAGCACTCAGATGGCAGCTCACAACCATCTGTCACTCCAGTTCCAGGGGCTAGGATACCTTATCTAACCTTCACAGGCTCCTGCGCACATGCAGCACACATACATACATACACTCAGGCACACACAAATACATAAAAATCAACAAAATGTTTAAAAGCATATAAAGTATTGATTACTTCTTTAAAAGGGAGACTGGTATTTGAAAACTTTCTCAAGAACACACACTGACACGTGTCTTGAGAGAAAGACTATTACAAAGAAAGCAGTATCACCTAGTGTCTACTCTCTGCACAGGCTGGCTCATTTCCTTATCACAGTAGTAATAAAGAGAAACAATAAAATGCTAACCTTCCACAAAAATCTTATAACAGAATGATCTGCAAACTGCCTTGTTTCTTTACCAACAAATGTATGTGACTCATGACCACGCTGGAAGTGAGTGGGAAATTTTAAAAAACAAACAACAAAACTCAAGGAAACCACCTTAAATGCTCGACTGCAGAACTGGACCCGTGACATCCTGGAGTACAGTGGAGAGAACCTGCAGTTCTGCCCAGGAGGCTCTGTCCTCTGTATGTACTGAAAACCCATTCTCTGAGCCTCCAAACTCACACAAGACACTTCTTCCAAGAAACCTTACGTCCTACTTACTAAAAAGAACCATGCCTCTACTTTCCCACAGGACATTCAACACACTTCTTTCTATAACATTATGCTTTGGGCCATACCCGATATTGTCTCTAGTTACTCAGTAAATGGAAAGGTTGTCAGGGCTTCTCTCTAGCATAGTGGGATGGAGTCTTCTCAGTGAATGTGGAATAGTTGATCAAAGACATAAGATAAAATAAAAATCCTTCCACGATGCTTTCTGGGCATGAACTTTACTCAGCATAGCTCTAAACCCTTAAGACCAACAGCAGTTGCTGCAGAAACAGCTCTTTCAGAGATGAAGCCATTGGAAAGTCAGGTATGTGCTCTATTTGAAGAGAAACAGAACAGCCAACATGTATTTGCCCAAGGGTGCTTTCTTCTTCTCAGACGAAGTTCTATTTTCTGCCAGTTTGGGGATTTGAAACATTTTCTATCTGGGCCTACCTTACTCAAGTTCACTCTCAAGCTTCTCAAAATCATGAGACCAGAGCTCGGGGCACCATAAGGGTAATGAGGCTTAAGTGTCAGGGCTCCTTCCTTGGGCAGTACTTGAAGCATTTCTAAGTAGGCATTTCTGGCAAACTGCCTAAAGAAATCACGGGAAGAAAGTGACCTAAATCTCATGTTGGGGTTTCAGATCTAATTTTGAATTCTTTTTCAGAAAGAGGTAACTCCTGTCCCCCAAATTCAATGAGAAGGTAAACCGAATTCCCACATAAGAAAAAGGTAAACAAAACAAAACCTGCTGGGCTCCACTATGGTCTTCGAACTTTCGAGAAACGCATAACATTTCCCCTCCCCTTAAAAGATACCAAAAGAACACGGTGTGAAACCCAATCTTTGATCTCCACAGACGGCTAGTGGTTTAAAAAAAAAAAAAAGTGAGATAAACTCAGGGTATTGTCAAAAGAGCCCCAAGACCAGAAGCCTTGAGCAACTTCGTTTTGTGGAAGCAAGACAGAACTCCAGGACACCAGGTTTCCATCAAAGACAAAGTCCTGGGACATTCTCGGCAATAAAACTTTCAGGGGCAGGCTCCCCTGGTGGTTAGCTGTAATCTCAGTTTATCAATTCCTCGTCTTGCAAAGCACACAATTTACCCTAGGGCCACAGCTGGGAAAAGGGTGACCAGAGCCCAAGGAATGCAGGCAAGAGGAAAGTGACAGAAACGCCTGGGAGGGGGGCAGGGCACCGGTGGGGGACGGCGTGTGACAAACAGCCGGCTCCAGGATAAGACGTGCCAGAAGGAAAGTAAGGACGGAGCAGGAGGTGGCGTTACCGTTCCTCAGCCTCTGCGTCTGTCACAGTAGAGTTAGTGAGAATACCACCAAACTTCCTAACAGGGTCCCAGGGAACGCGGACGTGGAGACCCGAGGAAGAAAAGCAACGGGGAAGCTCCGGGAGCCCGAGCGTCTCGGGCAGGCGCGTGCGGAGGTTGGGAAAGGGCCCGGGGCTGCAGCCGGACGCTCGAAGACGAGACCCGGGACGTGAATGGTCACTCCCGCGAGCCGCTGCCCGACCGCCGACGCCAATCCCCGCGCGGGAACCAGGGTCCGCAACGTCCCCGCAAGCGGCCGCCCCAGCCCTCCCCGTCCGACCCTCGGAGTTGGAGGGGACTTGGAGCGCGAAGCTCCCGGCCTTGCCCGTAGCCGCCTCCGCCCCGCGCCTCCGGGACCCCAGACCCCAAAGCGTCCGCCCCGGGGCACGGCGGGAGCCCGAGCCGCCTCCCCTCACTCACCGTGGGGCTCCATCCCGCGTCCCTGACGCCAGACCCACACTCACGGCCGCCGCCCCCTCTGCCGGCTGGACCTCGCCGTCCCCATCCCCCACGGCTGGCCCGCGGACGCCCGGTCGAGCCGCCGCCGCCACCTCCCCAGCAGCCACCGCCACGACCGCGCCAGCCGCGGACGCGACGCCCCGCCCCGGCCTCGCGCCCCACGCCTCACGCCTCACGCCCTCTGGGGCCCGCCTCCTGGAGTCCAGCCCATTGGCTCTCGCCTAGGGAGGCGGAGCCAACTGCTGCGGGGGCGGGACCAAAACAGGTGCGGGGTTGGGCCACGCTTGCTTTCTTCCTCCACGAGGGTCTGTCTGGAGGTGATCAAGGTCCCAAAGTCCCTTTCGTTCGTGTTGGCTCCAACTCAGCAATCGGACCCACCAAGAAAAAAAAAATCCATAGCTCCATATGGGAGCCACCCTTCCGTCCTGGTCTAATTGGCCGTTTTGCAGGCACTATGAATACTTTTTCAGTTAGGACTTTGGTCTTGAGCTTGTTTGGGTGACTTTCTTCCTCCTTCATCCTTTTACCGTTCGAGACCAAACTTATGACTCACTTTGAAATTGTCCCACTGTGTTCTTTCTTCAGCTGTCATTTTCCGAAAACTAAATTACTCGGTTACATCAGCTGTTATGCACAGTTTCCGGCTACACGGATGTATTAGATAAGTGTTCATCCTTACATCACTACACAAGCCTCTAATCATACAACATATTTGTCCTCGAATGTTCCAAATACAAGGACCACTAATGTGCTTAGTGAGGACAAGAACAACAAAAGCAGAGATGTTGGGTTATATATCATAGATGGGAAGGGAAATGTATTGAGTGTGGCACATCTAACTTAACCTCTACCAAGAATATCTTTCCTGTTGGTGCTGAGACATAACACTCCCAGAATATTAGTTGACGAATAGGAAAATTTATAGAAAGGTGTCTTGTCTTCTTCTCTCCTGTTTCTGTGCAAAATACTCCAGTCAAAGCAACTTAAGGAAAGGTTTTCTTTAGCTTACAATGTGCAAGTTGGGGAAATCAAGGCAGCAGGGGGTTGAAACGGCTGTCTCTTACACTCACAGCCTGAAGAAGAGCGCGAAGACGAAGATGCGTGCTGGTCCTCAATCACTCTCTCCACTCTTACAGTCCATGATGCCCTGCCTAGGGAACTGTAGCGCCTACAGTGGGCAGGCTGCCCCACCTTGGTCCGTATAATCCAGATAATGTCCCACAGGCACACCCAGGGGTTTACCTTTCAGGTGATTCTAATTCCTGTCTGTCAGAACACGGTCCAAGAATGGAGCCTTGTGAGGAGAATTCTGAGTGCCTGTGAGAAAGTTCTAAGAAACCAAGGCAAGAGTCTTGTGACCGCAGTTTCTTGAAAAACACAGAATTGTTCTTGGATTATGCTCTCGTGTCCCTCCTGGGTGTAGCAGAGAGGAGTGAGTTTACTTCCAATTGTTCCTTACAATTGGCTATTGTAATCGCCTCTGTTGGAAATCATGTTTTTGCCATGTGTGTCTTTTCTGTTGCATGTGGCTTGCGCTTGTGAATGTACACGTTTAGTCATATGACTCCTCTTAATCCTCAGAGTATAAATTGTCTGATGCTCTGAATAAAGTTGGCTATTGCATGAGACTTTAGTCCGCTTCATTTATCGGCGCCGTTTTCCCACGTTAGAACCTAGAGCAACGACACAGTCATGCCAAGAATTAACCCTAACTAACACAAAAGGGAATTTAAGAAAAAAATCCTCAATTTCACGTTTCTCTTAAATCCTTTTTTTCTAAATGGATGATAGATACATTTCCCATGTTCTCGTTATTAATCATGGATGATATATGACAATATTTCTGGAAACCAAAGGTGGTTTATCCTAAAATAAAGTGCAAAGCCTGGAGAGCTGGCCCAATGGTGAAGAGAACTTGCTGCTCTTGCAGAGGACCTGGTGTTCAGTTCCCAGCACCGACATGGTGACTTACAGCTGTCCTTACTCTGGGTCTGGGATCCAGCACCCTCTTCTGGTCTTAGCAAGCACCAGGCACACAGGCAAGGAAAACATTCATACACATAAAATAACAATAACAAATCTTTCTTTTTAAAGTACAATTATTAACTGACCAAAAACAATGAACATAAACCTGATGTCTGGTAGAGGTGACTGCATTTGCAAAAACATCCTAAACAATACAGGTCAATACCTTAGTTAGAGTCTCCAAAGTATCCCAGAATATGCCCTGAATAATGCTGTAAAAATAAATGAATAAATGTTTGCAAGTTAAAGTGACTCATGATTATGGCCTTGGAGGCCCGGAATAAGCAGACAAACAAGAATCAGAGGAATTACTGGGTATTATTTTTTAAGGACAGTTGGTGTTATATTACTATCTATAATTTCCGCCTACACTAATGACTCTCCTGTTGCCGATCTGCTCGTTTCTTCTGTGATAGAAGATAACAGCTCTACTCGGACGTCTTCCTTTTCTCCTCCTTAAACTCCAGCTACTTTTTGCTGTTTTCCTGCAGTTCCACATTAGGGAGGTGGGAAGAGGTAGAGGCACCAGGGTTACAAATTCAGGGTTAGCCTTGGGTTGTGGCTGAGGGTGGAGAAGAGAGAGAGAAAAAGAACTTGGGCTATTCATTTAAGTTTGGGGTCACACTTATTTAGTAGTGCTTATACTAAGGAGATGCAGTTTGGGTCTCCACTAAGTATTTCCTGAAGAAATATTGAAGCAATGATCTGAAGATTCAGGAATAAAAATTCTTCTAGGATTCCCCCCCCCCCCCCCCATCTGTGTTCAACTTCGTCATACATGGTGGAACCAATCCCATGGTCACAAAAACCTCATGCCTAAAGTAACGTCTATTCCTGAGATCACGTGCTCTGAGGTGAAAGGCTAATTATAAATGTGCATGTTCTATGTGCTGTTCTATGTGGACGATGGAGCAGGAGCCCAGCCCTCAGTGGATGGGCATCCATCCTTTTATTCCTGCTTTACTGGCAGTTTGTCTTGGAGACTGCAACGCTGTTCACCAGGACTGTCTAGTTTTTATTCCTTTCACGAATATTTATTGAAGATTTCTAATTTGCCAGGCGCTGTCTAAGCACAGCGGGTATATTAGGGAACTTTAAATCCACTCCCTGTTTTATTTAAATCCAATAAAACCATGGCCCAATGCTTAGAAGAGAAGCAGAGTTGATGAAAGAGGCAGGGGGTGCCCTAACAGGCAGGTATCCTAGTCCGCTGCTGCCCTAGACCTCGCTGCCTGAGCATTTAGGAAGAGCGATGAAAACCTGACAGGCTACAAGGAACATGGAGGCTTCACATTCCAAAGTGGACAAAACTCACCAAGCAGGTTATTAATCTTGATTCCAAGATGGTTGCAATTGAGAAGCAAGGAATCAATCAGCTCATTCGCTGGCCATTGCAAACATTCACAGTCTGTGCTGTCGTCGAGAGGAAACAGACTAAGAATGATAAACTTAAAGAAAAAGTCAAATGAGTATTCAGATAATACTCATTTTAAGTTAGATTAAGGTATTAGCATTACGACTCGAGTACAACATTATTTTTTATGTTATTATACACATTCTTATAGAACTTAAAAGATTTTTAAAATTTTAACTGTGTACATGCGTGTGTGTGTGTGTGTGTGTGTGTGTGTGTGTGTGTGTGTGTGTGCAGTGCTCATGGATTCCAGAAGGGGACATCAGCTCCCCCTAGAGCTTGAGTTTTGGGCAGTTATGAGCTGCTTAACAGGGGTGCTGGGAACCTAACATGCCTTTGGAAGGTTAGGAAGAGCTTTTAACCCCTAAACTGTTTCTCCAGCCTCTCCTATAGAAATTTCAGTGGCATAAACCTCTATGCTATGTTTAAACCTCTGCCTATTTCCAGGTATAGGGGTGTACTTGGGAGGCAGGGGGATCGGGAGTTTAAGGCCTGCTGTAGAATATTAGTTTAAGATGCGCTACATTTGTTTATGCTGTGGGACATTTGCTTAATAATACAAAGATGTGTAGCATTCTCCTTTTTAAAAAAGATTTATTTATTATGTATATAGTGTTCTATCTGCATGTATACCTCCAGGCCAGAAGATGGTACCAGATCTCATTATGGATGGTTGTGAGTTACCATGCAGTCACCAGGAATTGAACTCAGGACCTCTGGAGAGCACCCAGTGCTCTTAACCGCTGAACCATCTCTCCAGTCCCATGTTGTATTCTGTTATGCTGCATTTGTTTAACTCTGTGAAGCTGCATTACTTTGCCTGTCTAAACCATATGATGGTCTAATAAAGAGTTGAACGGTCAATAGCGAGGCAGGAGAAAGGCTAGGCAGGGCTGGCAGGCAAAGAGAATAAATAGAAGGAGAAAAAGAAAAGACTTCAAGGAACGAGAAAAGGAGGAACAAGAGAACAAGGAGAGGAGGACACTCTGGGCCACCCACCTACACAGCCAGACACAGAGTAAGAAAAGGAAAAGCCCAGAGGCAAAAGGTAAATGGAATAATTAACTAAGAAAAGCTGGCCAGAAATAAACCAAACTAAGGCTGGGCATTCATAAGAAAAAAGAAGCTCCCATGTTTGTATTTATTTGGGAGTTGGGTGGTGGGCCCCCCAAAGAATCAAGAACAAAGAGTTAAAAACAACCAATAGCAAAGGCCAACGATGTCTTTCGTGGCACTGGGAGTCAAACTCGGGACCTTGCACAGGCCAGGCAAGAACTCTCCAGCTGTGAATGCATCCTAATCCCTCCACAAAGAAAGGCTCTCTAGGGCTGAAGAGATGTAGCTCCGCAGGTAAGAGCACTGGCTGCTCTTCCAGAGGACCCGGGCTTCAATTCCCAGCACCCACAGGGCAGCTCACAACTGTCTGTAACTCCAGTTCCAAGGGATCCCACACCCTCACACAGATGTAAACGCAGGCACAACAGCAATGAACATTTGTTAAAACTGAAAAAAGAAAGAATGTCTGCCTGACTTGAGGAAAGCTGATATTGGCATAAAGATAAACTTGGCCAGATTTCTCCTAGTGGGGAATCCCTCTTCTTCTACCTTTGGCAGTCTGTCCTTCTGCCCTTCTCCAGACACACCAGGTCTTTCTTACCTTCACTTCTCCCTCTGTCTGATATAGGCTCCTCTCTTGTACCTATGTGAATTGCTTCCTGTTCTTAGATTGTCCTCCACGTCAGTGACATGTTACACTTCGGGTGTCCTCAAATTTCTCACTCTGCTA